GACGGACGGACAGACAGACATGGCTTAATCGATTTCTTTTTTCATCCTGATCATTTATGTATACATTTGTCTATATCTATCTCGATTCGTTTTGGCTGTTACAAACAACCGTTATGTGAACAAAATTAATATACCCTTGTGCACAAGTACGCTCGGGTATAATAACAGGTTCTGTGCCGAATTTCTTTTCTGTTACAAAAAAAAATCAAGTTACTGATGAAGAAAATCGATGGATAAATTCCAAATAATGAGTGGTCAAATAAAAATGCGCAAGATTATTTGTATGAAAATTGAGCACGAAAGAATGTTACTCATACGCCGCGTACACCTAAGTATGTCGCTTTTGTGTTCATATTTCATACAAAAAATCTTTGCGCATTCTCACTTGACCCTTCATTATTTCTTATTTAAAATAATTCTTATTATAAAGTAAATTAAATAATTTGCACATTTCAGTCTATTATTTTTAAAATTATATAAAAGTAGTAATTAATGTTTAAAATCTGAGATTTGGATAAGAATAAAATAAATAAATAATTCAATCATTTATTAAATATGTATTCTTAATTTTTGTCTATAGTTTGGCTTGTTGATTCATAATAGAAATTAATCAAATAATCATATTAATCGTGTATTTAAAAAATGTCAAAAATAATGAAAAAATGATGTAATTAAAATTAATGATTTAATTAACACTCTTTTTAAGTAATTAATTATTAATCATTAGAAGGGTGGTAATATCGGTATTTGATCATTAAACGGTTATCCCAAAAAAACATGCTTTAGTTAATAATCATTATGAATATTAATAAGTATTTAACAGGTCTGGTATAATTGAATACGTACTCGTTTTAATGATTTACAATATAACCAAATTAACGTTATAGTATTTTTTGTACTTTATTTTATTAAACTCAAAAGTCAAGTAAAACAGGGCATGAATAAATCGTACTGTACTTGGTACAAGTCTGGTCTTTTTCGAAATAGTTCGGTTTCAGTCAGGAAATTCAAGTTGTAAACTAGTATTTTTCCTGATTAGATTAGGGTTTCACTGCAGGGTAAACACCGTTTAAATAAGAGCAAAGGCCGAACCTCTTCTATATTTTTACTTTTTAATTGTTTGCATACAATAATTAAAAAGGAATGTTTTACCCAAGGTTCAATTTCGAAGTTCGAGGGCCAATATCTCGATTTCGGAGGCTAACATCGAAAAACGGAGAAACTACTTTTTTAATTATTACTCAATTTCTTAAAAAAGTTGGTTTTGTCCAATACTTAGCCAAGTGCAGTACAGTGTAATAATTAAACTTTTCTATTGTGTATATGAAATCTACGTCAAATAATAAGTTGTTTAATGCTTTCTTTATTTTAGCTGCGCGTGCGAAAATTCTCGGCTCGACAGAGATTCACGTGAAGCGGGATAGTACAATAGCACTGGCCTGTTCGGTGAACATTCATGCTTCTTCCGTTTCGTGGTAAGATGCGTATAAGGAATTTATTATTATTGTGCATTGTTGGTACCCAGTTATATTTGTGACGGGTAAACTCATGCCACATGCATAAACACCTTTTCAACCCAAGCTGAAAGTCTACTCGGCTAGAATGTACATATAAGCCGTTCAGTGCTTACATCGATTAACTTCACTTTTAGAAAAATCTTAAATTTAAGTTTCAAAGCACTTGGTATAGTCAAAACTTTTTACTTTTATAATAACTTTATATAACATACAATAGTTCATAATATTAATAACAAAACTATTTATTTGATTTTATAATATAAATGGAATTTTAAAAAATAACGTACATTATTTGATCGCATCTCCCAATTTTTTGCTGATGGAGTTAATCAGGGTTGTTGCGAATATTATTCCAAAATAAAAGTCCTTTCCGGATAATAAACAAATGGCCTGTCGAAATTAAGCAAATTTGGTATCATATGAAAGAGGACTTAAATAGCTTTTAAACAGAAATAACGAACGACCTCTATTTATATTTTTTTTAATAATTTAATACTAAAGAAATGCATATACCTGACACAAAGTTTGTTCTATGGCAATTAATTAACATTTTTTGTTGAAATATTTTTCAATATGTGGCTTTCCTCGTTTAGACATTTCAGTTTTAAAGCTATTTAAGTCCTCTTTCATTTGCTACCAAACTTGTTTAATTTGGATAAGCGATTTGCTTATTATCCGAAAAAGGCTTTTATTTCGGAATAATATTCGCAACAACCCTGGAGTTAATCAATTTGTGCATTGGACGGCTCATATATATGTACACATCTGTGTTCGTGTGGAATAGTGCTTATGTTGAAAGGCTGGCTTTAGTATAATGCGGTATTCGCAGCATGCAATTACGAATGACTCACTGGCACCAACCGTTGAGAAACTTTTGGCAAATAAACGTTCAATAAATAGTTGTGATATTAGCAAGTCAAAATTCTTATTAAGTCTCACAAAAAATTCCTTGTCGTTTAAAGAATAAAGGGAATGCCGCATTAAACTAAAGCCAGCTTCCCGACATAACCTACTATTCCATATGAACACAGATATGTATGTATGTATACTTTTTTTCTATGTCGTACAATGGGGCCGCTTCATAGAGGGCGATGCTCAAAACTTATTTTTCGAAAGTGGGTATTTAAGATTAAAAATATACACCAGCAGTTATAACAAAGTACCAAATCTCATGTATAAACATTGGGTTCCTAACAACTGCCAGTTGCCGCGCACAACAACTCAAAGTTAACTTTTCAGTCAGATTTTTTTCCGATATCGAAATCGGGTTCATGTGTGTTATTAAAGGGTGTTTTATAATGTTAGAGGTTGACATCAGGTTAGAAGGATCTATGTGTGTTGATTGTTTTCCGACTTTTCATCATTACAAATTTCATTGGTTTCTGAGATATATACTTGTAGTAAAATACATTTTTTCAGGGTGATTTTTTCAGTTTGGCTTTTCCCCAAAATGCGCAAGGTTCCTTCTCTGAGTATTTTTTAGTTATAACCGGAAGGCTTTATATATAAATAAACTTAAAAGATTTGCGCATTTTTGAGAAAAATATTTTTTAATGTGAACTTATTAATTTTTGTCAGGGACAGTCTTCCATTATTTTATCAAACATTTGTACCGCGTGGAGATGTTTTAAGAAAAATTTCAACTGAATGGAAGAGAATAGTAAATGCTGTCTGTCTTTATTCTTTCTTTCAATTCTGGTAACTTTTATTCCAGACGGAACCCATTCATCCATTAAAAATCGGGATTTGTGTAAAATATTATTTAAAAGCCCTTCTAAATTATGGCAAAGCAAGTTAAGCCATGTGGAAGAATATATTTCAAAAAAGAAAGAAGCTGCCACAATCTTTTGGGCAATTTCAAGAGTTGCGTTACTTTAAAATGGAATATATGCGGTAGACACAACACCAGATTTTATGAATACGAAAAAGTCTGTTTAGAAAAACTTGGAAACAATATCCAGTGGATCTAAAATAGATAATACAAAATTCAAGACACTGTGCTTTGATATTGCGGAGCTGTGTGACAGCCTTTATCCTGGCATCCAATGGCAACAGTGGACAAAATTTTAATGCATGGTGCCGAAATTATATTCTACTCAGTGAACAATTAAGTGCAGAGGTACATGAATCGCGGAATAAAGATTTTAAAGCATATCGTTAACGTTTTAGCCAAAAAAACGTCTAATTATTTCTTCCGATCCTCTTATTACAAGTTTAAGGCCTTTACAAACAGTAAAAAAAGTTATTTGATCCGGTGACAGGTAACAAAATCAACGGAAACAAGATCAATTGACTTTATTTCCCACCCTGGTGCGAAATAAAGTTGGTAATAAATAAAAGTACATTGCATGAGTTCATATGGCAACATCACATCCTGACGCATAGACGGCGCTCTTTGCAAACCACTTTTACTTTCCACTTGTCAGCTACTTGTCAAACCAATGTCCAATCATGTAAATATGTTTTCGCCTTTTTGATTTTTTGGCCGTCTACGAACAAGCTGGACTTTTGTTGGGAAACATATAAAATACTCAATAAATCTAAAATTATACAGTCCATCATTTCGTTTTTCTGAGACATTTGTTGGTCCTTCAGACCGGATCGCCCGGCGAAAATATACTATAAAAATATTGGCGAATTTTTGAGCGTTTTTTTTGGTTTTTTTTTGCAAAGTTGGCCGTACGGCTTACGAGTTTAATCTTCTGATAAAATGAATCGCCTGATCCAGCGACGCGGCTTTTGCAAGGGGCAAATAACTCGTGCGCATGCAACTGTGGCTGAAGAGGTAGAAGCGAGTACGTCAGTGGAAACCTTGGAGTATCGCTTAGCTAAGCTGAATGCAAATTACGAGCGATTTATTGAGCTCAGTGAACTTCTTTGCACATACAAGGGTGAACCTGATTACATCGATCCGGCCACAGATGTAGTGGAGTATGAGGAGAAACACTTTTATACGCATTCTGTACTTTCACAAGCGTTAAATCAGCTTCGAAAAGAAACAAAACCGTCTGCTGTTGATGTAACCGCTTCTGAAACATCAATAGAATGCCTTGTTTCCAGCCAAACTAAGTTTTTGGATAAACTACGTGGCTACAAGTAGCCACACGGAATTACACCTGGGAAAAATAAAGATTCCGACGTTCTCGGGAAACTATGAAGATTGGCGGCAATTTTGCGACTTGTTTTTGGGCTCGATAGATAAGTGTGCGAATCTGACCAATTGTCAAAAGTTTCACTATCTGAAATCATACTTGGATGGTGAAGCATTGAATTTGGTCAAACATATTACCGTCACAGACGACAATTACAAGGAGGCGTGGGAGCGATTGGTGCAACGTTACGACAAGAAGCCGTTGATTGCCCGCTCATTTATAAGCAACTATCTAGCACTTCCTAGCGTAAGCGGATGGAGTGTCGTTGCGTTACGAAAATTGGTCTATGGGGCTGAGAGCATTCGCGGGTTGAGTGCGCTTAACTGCAACCAGCGTGACCCTTGGTTCATACATATTCTTCTAACGAAACTTGATACCGACACACGACAATTTTGGGCAGAAAGCAAGGAGTCTAGCAAAGAAGATGTTACAATTCATGACTACTTCAAATTTTTATTTTCTCGATGTGATGCACTGGAATCTTGTCAACCATCACGCCTTTCTTCGAGTGGACGACAAGCTGCGGCTCATCATGCTGTTCTTGATCAACAACGGACTAGAGCTCATTGCGTATATTGTCAACAGGTTCGTACAATTTCCTCGTGCAGCCAGTTTAAGTCAATGGACTTAAACTCTCGTCGATCGTTTGTGAAGCCAAACAAGCTTTGCTTTTAATTGCCTAAATCGTGCACATAGGGTCAAGAACTGCATCTCAAGTTTTACTTGCCGAATTTGCAGCGCTAAACATCACACCCTGGTTCATGGGGCGCAGCAGAAAACTCCCCATGACAACCCCACAGTTAAAGAGAACGCAGATTGCAGCGGAATTCTTCGGGGCTTAAGGCTACTCAACCTTCTTCAGCAGGTGTTATCCATCACACCTTGGGCAGGGTTCATCAGACCCACACGCAAACTCTTCTACGAACTATTCTCGCAAATGTGGTTGATGTTTGGGGCAATACAACTACTTGCCGACTACTTCTTGACACAGGGTCAATAATCACTTTGGCTACAGAGGCATTTATTCAGCGGATGGGAGCTCCGCGAACACACGCACGTATTTCAGTTGTGGCCTTGCGATTAACAGTGCTGACGTCACAAGGGGTGCTCCAACTTCTATCACGCACATCTAACCAATCTGTTGAAGACTCTACGCTAATCATGAGTGCACTAACGTCATCGATTCCAGCGCAAGAGATGAAAACCAGCTCATCCACCTGGAAGCAAGTATGTCAGTTGCCTTTAGCAGATCCGTCATTTGGTCTACCTGGTGCCATAAATGTCATCATTGGCTCGGATCAACTATGGAACCTGTACAATGGAGAACGCAAATTCTTTGGTAACGACTTTCCTATCGCTCCTAATACTGTTTTTGGTTGGGTTCGACACCTGCTTTGGCACATCACGCGCAATTAGACCTTGATGAACTAGTTCATTCTTTTATGGAGATGGACCGCGTTCTGCCAACCAAGGGTGTCATCGATGCAAGTGATCCCAACAACAAAGATGGAGTGAACATGGTTCAGTACGCATTCAAGAACAACGCTCCGCCGATTGGGACCACTTTACCACAAGCCCTTAGCCACCTTATTTCGCTGGAGCGCAAGCTGCTACGATTTCCGGTATTAAGGCAGAAATATTTTGACTTTTTGGATGATTACTTAAGCCGTGGGCATATGGAAGTGCTCACATCGAGCAGATAGTTGAGGACCCAGTTACCTGCATATATTTGGCTCATCACGCCATACTTAAGCCAGATAGCTCTACGACGAAATGCCGAGTGGTATTTGATGGCTCGGGCAAAGA